GTACAATTCAACGGCATTCAGTACATTCACAATATTGTGCAGCCACCATTTCTGTTTAGTTCCAAAACATCATCACCTCCCCCCACCCCCAAATCCCCATACCCACTAAGCAGTCACTGCCCAGCACCTGGCAATCACCAGTATACCTTCAGTCTCTATGGATTTACAGATATCAATACCTATTCTAGATATTGCAAATAAATGGAATCATCCAATATGTGGACTTTTATGTCTCTTTTTGCACATGGTATATCCAACTGTCCCAGCACCATTTGTTGAGAAGACTACTCCTTCCCCCACTGAATTGCCTTGGCACTTCTATTGAAATCAACTGACCATAAATATAAGGGTTTATCCCTGAACTCTCAGTTCTGTCCACTGATGTACATGTCTGCCCCGGCCCCATACTAGTACCAGAATCCTGATAACTGTAGCTTTATAGTTGTTAGTGCAAAGTATGAGTCCTCCAACTTGGTCCTTTTTTCAAGATTATTTTCTCTATTCTGGTCCTTTGCATCTCCATATGAATTTTTAGGATCAATCTGTCAATTTCTGCTTAAGAGATTGTGTTGAATCTATAGATCAACTTGGGAAACACTGTCATCTTAACAATACTGAATCTTCCAATTCATGAACACTAAATGTCTCTCCATTAATTTAGCTTTTCAATTTCTCTCAGCAATATAAGTTTACAGGTCTTGCACCTCTTTTGTCAAATTTATACTTAAGCATTTAATTCTTTTTGATGCTGCTGTGAATGGAATTGTTTCTTAATTTTAAGATTATTCATTGCTCATATATAGAAATACAACTCAATTTTGTATACTGATCTTGTATCCTGTGACCTTGCTGGACTTCTTTGTTATTCCTTTCTTTTTTCTTTTTTAAAGATTTTATTTATTTTAGAGAGAGAGTACAAGCAGGGGGAGGAGGAACAGAGGGAGAGGGAGATATTCTCCAGCAGACTCCACACTGAGTACACAGCCTGATATGGGGCTTGATCCCAGGGGCCCGATATCATGACCTGAGCCAAAACCAAGAGCTGGACACTTAACCGACTAGCCACTCAGGCAGCCCTGTTTGTTATTTCTATTAGTTTTTTGTGGATTTCTTAAGATTTTCCACATACAGGATCATGTCATCTGTAAACAATGACAGTTTTACTTTCTTTCCAATCTGGTTATCTTTTATTTTGTTTTATTTCCCGATTGTACTAGAGCCTGAGAATTTGTATTTTTTAATAGGTTCCAAGGTGATACTGATGCTGCTGGTCCGGGGACCACACCTGGAGAACCACTGCTTTAAAGAATGTGTATCTCATAATGGAAATGACACTTGAGGCGAGTAATGGAAGAGAAGTAAATATTACAATATACTACAAGTGTAAGATCTTCTCTACATACTGTGAGGAAAAATGATAATCAAAGAATAGTCTAAGCATAATTACTTTGGAAGAAATACATAAACAGAGATTATCCAGTGAGATTTTTGGTGTTCTACACATTGTTTGTATGTATGTACGTACATATATATGTACTTATTTATTTATTGATTGATTGGATTGTAAACTCTGTGTCCAATGTGGAGCTTAAACTCACGACCCTGACCAAGATTAGGAGTTGCATGCTCCACTGACTGAGCCAGCCAGGCGCCCCATCTATATATTTTAAAAAGCTTTAAAAAACTTTAAAATGTTAATGTCAATGACTAGAGAAAAGCTAAAATGGTATGGAGTGTCCATTTTGGAATTACAGTTATTCATAAACAGAGTACCAAGTCAAAGGTATTAACATTAAAATCATAATAAAACAGGGGTGACTGGGTAGCTCAGTCAGTTAAGTGACCAACTCTTGATTTCTGCTCAGGTCATAATCTCAGGGTTGTGAGATTGAACCCCGAGTTGGGTTCCGCACCGGGTGTGGAGTCTGCTTGAGATTCTCTCTTTCCCTCTTCCCCTCCCCCTGAATGCACTCTCTCTCTCAAATAAATAAATCTTTAAAAAAAATCATAATAAAACAGTAACAACAATGGTAAGGTTAATAACGAATAAGTGTATGGAACACTTATGACAGCCACATACTGTTCTAACTGCTACATTAATTCATTGAATTCTTACAGCCCTATGAGTTAGCTATTATCGTTATCCCCATCTTGTAGCTAAGGAAACTGAGGCACAGAGAATTTATTTATTTAAAAGATTTTATTCATTTATTTGAGAGAGAGAGAGCGTGCGCACGCATGCCCAGGAGCAAGGGGGAGGAGCAGAGGGAAAGGGACAAGGAGCCTTGAGCTGAGTGTGGAGCCCAAAGTGGGGCTCGATCTCACAACCCCAAGATCATGACCTGAGCCAAAATCAAGAGTTAGATGTTCAACTGACTGAGCCACACAGGTGCTCTGAGGCACAGCGAATTTAAATGACTTGCTCAAGGTCGTACATCTAGGAAGTGTCAGAGCCACGATTCCCCCAAGGCAATGTAGCTCTAGAGCCCACTCTTTCCCATAATGCTGTACTCCTTCTGTTTCTTCTTGCCACAGACGATAAAAATTTCCTTCCTCTAAGTAATAAAAGCAATTTTCTACTGCTTTCTGTGAACTTCCCTTTTAATCATTTCAAAGGGAGTCATAAAAATTAGCTTTTTGTGCAACATTTGAGGAGGTTAAAAACAGTGTCTGGGTAGAAGGATGGGTACCTAGCTGTTCACTTGAAAAAAAGGTGTGTGGTGGGTTCTGAAAGCTAGCAAAGTTGCAATCTCTGTTCTAGAAGCTCACAGAAGAGGAAGAATGAGGATAATGAGTTCCTTGAGGAGGGTAGGCATAACATGTTTTAGCCAGGGTGGCTGAATCACACAAAGGAATAAAGCCTTACCAGAAGCTGAAAAAAAATCTCAATGACAACCCTGCTGATGTTCCTAATTCTAGGTTGTTTGGTGGGTCTTGAAACTTTAAATAGCTCTGCAAAGGGATGTGGTAAGTTCATATGACCCCTCTCTGCTGGAACAGCTTTGCCCTGTCCAAATGAATCTTAGTCACCGCTGTGGCTATTTTAGGCCCGAGTCTGATTTTGTGGCACTGGGAGAACTACAGCATGGGTTTCTTGTGATAGGACAAACCTGAGCCCTATGGTAAAAGGCCTGTACTTGGGCAATGAAAGGTTCAGCCCCAGACAGGGCAATGTCGCAAAGGCCAAAGCAGCAGTAGAGTTAAAAAGGCTAGGGAAGAGTTGAGAAAAAAAAAAGCATAATTCATGGTTTCTTTGGGGAGGAAATGAACTTCAAAAACAGCTGACCAAATTTCACTTTGGATAGTAAGATTTTTTTTCTCTCTTGTAGCCTATATTGGTTCAGGTGTATATCAAAGATGGGGAAACTTCTTTGGGCACCATCCTGATAATGGCATGTCATTAATAATTATTTTTGCCAAGGACTTTTAAAGCAAACAGAGAAGAGCCAGTTTGAATCCCTGACTGCAAATACAATTAGGGCAGAGGCTTAACTGCGAATCATCATCACCAACAATGACATGTTGCAATTTCCCTTGCTGTAAAGTAGCACAGTCCAATAGGACTTTTTACAATGATGGAAATGTCCTATATCTGTGTGGTCTGATTCGGTAGCCACATTTGGTTACTGAGCACTTGAAATGTGCTAGTGTGACTGGGGAACTAATCTTTTAGTTTTATTTAATTTTCACTGATTTAAATTTAAATAGCTACACGAGGCTACCAGCTATCGCGATCGACAGTTCAGCTCTATAGCATAATATTGTGGCCTAGTTTCCCCCAAATTCATATAAATGTTCTTCTAAATCTAGACTTGTATACAATTATTCATATATTTCAGGGTTGAATAGTGAATGGTATTGTGATTTATGACATATCTGAAAACTACGAAGTTTATAGTTGGCAGGAGTCACGGGCTAAGGAGGACTACTAACCAATCAACCACTTAGAGGAGAGAGTTAAAAATTATTATGGTAATAAAAAATAATTCAAATATAAGTTAATTTTAAGACCACAATATGAGTTTCCTCTGTTGGGAAGAGCAGGGGGAAAGGCAAATGCTGTCGCATAAAATTTTTGAATAGTGCTGGAGTGCCTGGGTGGCTCAGTTGGTTAAGCGTCCGACTCATGGTTTTGGCTCAGGTCATGATCTCAGGGTTGTGGGATCGAGCCCTGTGTTGGGCTCCAAGCTCAGCGTGGAGTCTGCTTGAGATTCCCTCTCCCTCTGCCCCTGCCTTCTCTCTTTCTCTCTCAAATAAATAAATAAATAAATAAATAAATGAATAAATTTATTTTTTGAATAGTGCTAAAAGACTCCATTATTCTTGTTTTGTGTTTTTTTCAAAACCTTTTAAAATCAAATGGGCTCTCCATATGGATAATCATATTTTTTTTGGTGAGGTAGAGGATAAGAGAGTGGTAAAAGGAGAAAGGTACCTAGAAGAATAAAAAAAAGGTGAGAAAGGTAATTTGAAAATATTTTCTAGTAGACCAAGGTAGTGGGGATTTTTACTACTTTGTGATGGTTGTCCAATTCTAATCCAGTATTGTTTCCATTGAGCTGAACTCACATTTTGTCAAAATATTTGAGAAAATGGAGATGCCTGGGTGGCTCAGTAGGTTAAGTGTCTGCCTTCAGCTTGGGTTGTGATCCCAGGGTCCTGGGATCGAGTCCCACATTGGGCTCCCTGCCCGTCGGGGAGCCTGCTTCTCCCTCTCCCTCCTCTGCTTGTGCTCTTTCTCGCTCAAATAAATAAATAAATAATAAATAAATAAATAAATAAATAAATACTTAAAAAAATTAGAAAAAGTAATTATATCTCTGCTATGAATTTTCAGGATAATACAAATCTAAAATGTGATTAATCTTCCATTTATTATAACCTCTTGTTTAGATTCACACTTAGATATTACCTTAAATGATTTAAAAACCAAAATCTTATTAAGTTTCAGAAGTGAGAATTTAGCTGTAAGAAAGCTTTTTGCTGATTTCTTTAATTACCTTTAGTTTCCTCCTTGCATTGAATTTCCTCAGTTGCTCTACTGTTTCTGGAAGATGAATCTTGTAGGCATAACGATCCCGCTCCTATAAAAGAAGAAAGATAATGAACATATGTAGCCATTTAAAAAAGTGAAGAAACTTAATCGAAAACAAAGAATAAAGCCCAAATTTCTTAAATATGAAACTTAGATTGAATTCTAGAATACTGGAGATTTTATTCCATGATACTGGTAAACATTTTCAAATGAAGGCTATTAAGGTCAAAAGTGATAGCAAAATAATCTTTTCAGCAATAATAAAGGCTAAAATAATGGGTTATATAATTTTCAGGTATGGCTATATGGCTAAGATAATTAACCATAATTATGAAAGTATGAAGTTACCTTTGATATGATCTTGTCAGGTAAAACGAGCATGTGAAAAATTAACTCCACAAATGATTGAGCATTTGGAGTCATCTGGAATAACTGGATTTTTAAAAAAAATCACAGTATCTTTGAACTAGAACAAACTTTTCAAGGCCATCTAATTCAACCATTTCCCCATGTGGGATCCTCTTCAATCCCTGATGGAGGATTATTCTGTTTGACATTGTCCAGTAGGTGATCATTATTTTACGGCAGCTTATTACAATTTTAAGAAAGTAAAAATGTTCTTACTTAGCCTGGGCCCATACCTGGCTTGTTTGGGCTAGCTCTGTCCTCTGTGACATCACGGAGCAAACATACTACCTCTTCCATGTAATAACCCTTCAGTAGCTAAGAGGGGTATCATGCTTTCACTAAGTCTACTCTCTGTCTCCAGTTGCCTCAACTATTCCTCATGTATATTTTAAACCTCTTGTCAACCCATTTTAAGCCTTTTTTTTTTTTTTTTAAGATTTTATTTATTTATTTGACAGAGAGATAGCGATAGCAGGAACACAAGCACGGGGAGAGGGAGAGGGAGAAGCAGGCTTCCCGCTGAGTAGGAAGCCCGATGTGGGGCTCATGACCTGAGCCGAAGGCAGACGCTTAACGACTGAGCCACCCAGGCGCCCCTCTTGTCATTCTTCTTAACACTCCCTTTAGTTCTACTCTAATTTGTCAATGTATCAGATTTGGGTAAGTATTCATTTCAGAAATATTTCTTGAGAGCCTACTATGTGCCAGGCATTGTTCTATGCACTTGGGATACGTGAGTAAACAAAACCAATGCAGATTCAGGCCCTTGTGTAGCTCATGTTCGAATAGGAGAAGAAAATACAAAAAGGCGAATTATGGAGTATGATGAAAGTGCTATGGAATAAAGCAAAAAGTAAAGCAGAGTAAGAGGGATTGGGTACACTGCAGTTTAAAATAGGATGGTCAAAGTAGGCCCACTTACTGTGAGGACACCCAAAAGTGGTGAGGGAGTGGTCTAGGCAGGGAGAACCACAAATCCAAAGGCCCAAAGTAGGGAGTGCACCTGGAATTTTCAAGAACTAGCAAGGAGACCCATATGTGTGGAGTAAATAGATCAGATCAGAGAGGTGACAAGGCTGGGGTAGGCCATAAAGAGCCTTTTATTCTGAGTGGGAGAGGGAGCCACTGGAGAGTTTTGAGCTGAAGTGACATGATCTGACAACTTTAAAGGAACTCTCGGTTGTGTTGAGAACAGATTAGAAGGGAGCAAGCGTTTAAGAAAAAAAAGGGGGGGCCAGGGAGACCAGTTAGAAGGCAACTGCAGTAATCTGGGAGGGGGGAGATGATGACAGATGAAATCAGATGTAGGGATGCCTGGGTGGCTCAGTCGGTTAAGGCATCTGCCTTCGGCTCAGGTCATGATCCCAGGGTCCTGGGATCCAGCCCCGCATTGGGCTCCCTGCTCAGCGGGGAGCCTGCTTCTCCCTCTGCCTGCTGCTCTCCCTGCTCACGCTCTCTCTCTCTCCCTGACAAATCAATAAATAAAATCTTAAAAAAAAATCAGATGGAAAAATAAAAAAGGTGAAAAGGAGATAGATTCTGAATATATTTTGTTTTCTGCAGAAAGTTTTACTGAGATAATTAGCATATAACAAACTGCATGTTTAAAATGTATAATTTGATCAGTTTTGATGTATATAAGCATAAAAGCATCACCACGATCAAGATGATGAATATACCCATCACTCTCAGAAGTTTCCCCAGGTCCATTTGTCCTCTCCCTATCAGTCCCCAGGCAGCCACTGTTTCTGTCACTGTAGATTGGTTTGCATTTTCTAGGATTTTATATAAATGGAACCAGACAGTACGTACTCATTTTCCAACTTGTTTCACCCAGCATAAAGGTTTTGAACTTCTTCCATCAAGTTGCGAGTATCAACAGTTCAGTCCTTTTTATTGCTGAGTGGCATTTCACTGTAAGGATATGCCATAATTTGTTTATCCATTCATCTGTTCATTGACCATGGGTTGTTTCCAAATTTTGGCTATTACATAGAAAGCTGCTATGAACATTAACGTACAAGTCTTTGTATGGACATGTATTTCATTTCTCTTAGGTAAATACTTAGGAGTAGACTGGCTGGGTTGTATTATAGGAGTATGTTTAACTTTTTAAGAAACTGCCAACCTGTTTTCCAAAGTATTTTACATTTCTAAAGCAATGTATCACTTCCAGTTGTTCTACATCCTTGCCAATACTTGGTATGGTCAGTCTTTTTGATTTTAGTCATTCTGATACATGTGCGTATAGAGATCTCATTGTGGCATTATGTTGTATTTCTCTGATGACTAATGATGTTGAGCAACTTTGCATGTACTTATTTGCCATCCACGTATCTTCTTTGTAGAAGAAGTGTCTGTTCCAAATATTTTCCCATTTTGAACTGGGTTGTGTGTTTTCTTATTATTGAGTTTTAAGAATTCTTCCCAAATAGGGAAAGGGGATTGATAGGTACAAACTCCTAGTTATAAAATAAATAAGACACAGGGATGTAATGTACAGCAAAGGGAATACAGTTAATAATATTGTAACAATTCTGTACAGTGACAGATGATAGCTAGGTTTTATTATGGTGGTCACTTCATAATGTATATAAATGTTGAATCATTATGTTGTACACCTGAAACTGATATAATATGTTAACTACAGTTCAAAAGAAGAGATTCTTTATGTGATCTAAATATGTAAGTCCTTTATCAGATACTCCCACAGTTCATAGCTTTTCATTTTCTTACAGTGTCTTTCCAAGAACAGAAGTTCTTAATTCTGAATATATTTTGGAGGTGGAGAGTACAGGATTTTCTGAGAGATTGATGTGGGGTGTGAGAGAAAGAGAGGAGTCAAAGACCACACCAAGTTTTTCAGTGTGAGCAACTAGGAATCTGACACCAACAGAGATGGGGAAGAGATCAGGACTGTAGCTTTGACTAGATGGAGATTCAAGTAGGTACTTGGACATACAAGCCTGGAGTGCAGGAGAGAAATCTGGGCTGGAAATGAATTTTTGGAGGGTCATAAACATTTAGAAGGTATTAAGTTGGCATTTAACTCTGTCCCAGCCACTGAATTTGGGACTTTCACAGGCATTATCCCATTTCTTCTCCTTTTTTTTTTTTAATTAAAAAGATTTACTTATTTTAGAGACAGAGCATGCAAGAGCAGGGGGAGGGGCAGAGGGAGAGAGAGAATCTCCAGTAGACTCTGCTGAGTACGGAGCCTGACTCGGGGCTTGATTTAATCTCGAGACCCTGAGATCATGACCTGACTTGAAATCAAGAGCTGGACGCTTATGCAACTGAGCCACCCAGGTGCCCCTCTCATTTATTCTTTACAACTATATAAGATAGTAGAGATAATTCTACACATTAATTATCTCAAAAGTCATGGCTCAAATGGACATAACTATCATCATCATAGTTAGCATGTATTGAGTGGCTTATTATGTGCCAGGCATTGTTCTAGTGCTTTACATGTTTATGTTACTTACTCTTCACAACAAGGTAGGAACATATCATTATATCCTATTATGCAGCTGGGAAAAAGGAGATGCATTATACCTGATGAAGATGAATTAGTATGAAGTGGGCCTCTTAATTTTCTTAATCTGGATACTATATAACATTTGTAAATTAAGTTCAAGATCACATTATTATTTTATAACTAAAATCCATGTTTGCATGTGAGCCACTTCTAAAATTAATGTTTTGGTATCATGTGCTGACAAAATTTATTTTTGAATTTAAATGTAGAATTTTATAGTCAATCCTGTCAAAATTTCACCTTATTATCATTGAAATTCCTAAGGAATGAATACAAACCCTTTAAAATTTATTTTCTATATTAATGACTAAATGTAACGAGTTCTACTGGAGAGCAAAATTGTATTTTTCTTGAGTGCACATACAATGCTTGATGTCAAAATGACTACAATTTGCACATCTGCCAGATTCTATATGCTAAACATCTTGGAAATGATTTTATTATCTTTAGGGACTTAATCTTTTCCTGCACTAAGCCAGAACAGGTTCACCAATAGAAGACATAAGAATTTATCGAATAATTAACTAGCAGAGACAAGCATAAAATTAGCATTCTATAACAAGCAATAGAATCTTTTAATGGATTGCTGTTACTGTGGAAGATGGGGTACACACGCACGCACGCACGCACGCACGCACACACACACAATGGACTATTACTCAGCCATAAAAAAGAATGAAATCTTGCCATTCACAACAACACAGATGGACCTACAGAGTATCATGCTAAATTAATTCAGACAGAGAAAGGCAAATACCATAGAATTTCACTTATATGTGGAATTGAAAAGACAAAACAGGGGTGCCTGGCTGGCTTAGCTGGTAGAACATGTCTCTCAACCTCAGGGTCATGAGTTCAAGCCCCACATTGGACATGGAGCCTACTTAAAAAAAGAAATAAGACAAAAAAGAAAGACAAAACAAATGAACAAACAAAACCAGAAAAAGAATCATAAATACAGAGAACAAACTGGTAGTTGCCAGAGTGGAGGGTGGTGGTGGGGGAACAGGCAAAAATAGGTGAAGGGGATTAAGAAGTACAAACTTCTAGTTATAAAATAAATAAGTCTTGGGGATGAAAAGTGCAGCATAGGGAATATA